ATATGTGAGATATATGTGAGATATATATATCATATACACAATAATAAACAATTAAAATTTAACTTTTAAAATAAATATTAAATAATAAATTAAATTTAAAAAGAAATATTTATTAGGAAGTTACATCAAGATAAAGGTATCACGTTGAAGATGTCATAGCCAAAAAATGGATTTAATACATTTAATACACCAAACAAATATCATAGCTGAGTCGAGTCTACTTTTAACATGTTTGGAATACTTACACTACAGTTTGACAAAATCACCCAATACAAAGCCTATTTCATATAAAGTGTTTAATATCTCATGCAATCTATTGAATACAGAACTAAAGGAAAATTTTAGAATGGATGCACTGGTATGCTTTGTAAAGTTATCAAATAATAGGTCAAACAAATCTTCAGTCACATATGTACACTAGTCTTCAGAAAAGACAATTTTTCAGTATAAACTATGTGAGACCGAAAACAAGTCTTAGTGCCACTGTGAGGAGCAGCTGTGGCAAAAGGATTACCACTAGTTCCAGGCTAGCCTGCATTATATAGTGAGTTCCAGCTATCCTAAACTAAAACAGAGACCTCGTCTCAAAAACAACAAAAAACTACAATAAAAATAAGTCTTGGGCTGATGGGACAACTCGGTAAGTAAAGACACTTGCTGTCAAATCTGATAATCTGACTGTGATTCATGGAAGGAGAGAACTATCTGACCTCCATACGTCTACTGCAGTATGGGTAAACCCACACACATACACAAAATAAAGTAAGTTTGCTTTTTTATTTATTTTAGTGTATGAGTGTATTACCTGCATGTATGTATATGCACCCCATGTTGTGCAATGTCCACGGACAGAAGAGGGCATAAGATCTCCCAGAACTGGAGTTATGGACAGGTCCTCTAAAAGAGGAGCCAAGGCTCTTCACTGCTGAGCCATCTCTCCAGTCCCCATAAAGTAACTTTTTAAAAAACAGTGAACTTAAAAAGACTGAAATCATACTAGGCATGATGGCTCATGCCTGCAATCCCAGCACCGCGGAGGCTGGGTAGGAGAACTGCCACAAGTTTGAGACCAGACAGAGTTACATAGCCAAGAACTTGGGGGCTGGAAAGTTGGCTCAGTGGTTAAAAGCACTGTCTGCTCTTCCAGAGGACCTGGGTTTGATTCCCAGCATCCACATGGTGGCTAACAATCATCCATAAATCCAGTTCCAGGGGCTCTGACACCCTCTTCTGGCCTCTGTGGACTTTGCATGACACAGATGCACTTACATACATGCAGGCAAAACACTCTACACAAAAAATAAATAGCCGGCAGTGGTGGCACACACCTTTAATCCCAGCACTTGGGAGGCAGAGGCAGGCCGATCTCTGAGTTCAAGGCCAGCCTAGTCTACATAGTGAGTGCAAGGACAGCTGGGGCTACAGAGAGTCTCAAAAAAAAAAAAAAAAGAAAAGAAATAGCTGGGTGTGGTAGCGCACGCCTTTAGTCCCGTCCCAGCACTCAGGAGGCAGAGGTAGATGGATCTCTGTGAGTTCAAGGCCAGCCTGGTCTACATGGTAAGTTCCAAACTAGCTGGGGCTACAGGGAGACTCTGTCTCAAGAAAACAAATAAAAATAAATTAAAAAAAGAACTAAGTACAAAAACATGTTTTAGTTTATAATTTTTCTTTTCTTTTTAATATTTTTTATTTTTATTTTATGTGTGTGTGTATTGCTTGCATGTATGCAAGTGAACCCATGTTGTGCAATGCCTCCAGACATTGGAAGAGGGTGTTGGATCCCCTGGAACTGGAGTTATAGACAGTTGTTAGCTGCCATGTGGGTGCTGGGAATTGAACCTGGGTGCTCTACAAGAGCAGCCAGTGCTCTTAACCACTGAGCCATCTCTCCAGCCCCAGTGCCTTGGTTTTAATTCTTACTTTTATTATTCATTCCTTCCATTTGTTTTAGGTTACCTTTTGCTTTCACTGTCTCCTTTCCTTTCCATTTTTTTTCAGTGCTAGGGGTGGAACCCAGGGCCCCATGCATACAGACCTGCTTAACCACCGATCCATGATCCCAGCCCTCACTATCTGCTTTCTTAAGATGAATGCTTAATTCATTGATTTGCAATCAATCTCTTTTTTGCCTTTGGTAACTTAGTCTTGTAAGC